GTTCAATCGAAATTCTTGAGATCAGTGCTCCAAGTCCCAAGGTGTGTTACAAATGCAATGGTACGGCTAGAGACTGGCATTATGAAAGTTGAAGCTAAGATCACCTTGCACTCTATTTTTCTCTGGTTAAAGATAAACCTAAACCCATGTGGCCTTGTGCCCTTAATCCTGACTGACGATTACCAATCTGAATGGCTGACCCATACTATTCGGAAAATTACATTACTAGGGTTTTCCCCCCAAGAGCTTTTGGATAGGGGTGGTGTTCAAGCTAAGCTAGTGCTCAGGCAGAGGATTGAAGACATCGAACGCCAACTGGACGTACAGGCGACCCCTGCCTTTTTAGCGCCATACAGTAGTAAATATATGGTTGCTCAAGCCCCATACTTATCCATTTTGGAGTCAAATAAACTTAGGAGGGCGTATACGCTGGCTAGATGCTCTGCTTTACCTTCTGCAGTTCTTGAGGGCAAATTCAAGAAAACTCCCCGAAATAAGAGGCTGTGCATGTGTGCGTCTGGGGAGATAGAATCCCAGGAACATGTGTTCCTAAGATGTCCATTATATAACGAAGCTCGCACAAAACTTATTGGTCCTCTCTTGGTTGGCTCCTCGGATCAGGATAAGATAGAGAAATTGCTTATAAATTCTGATCATATAGCGCTACACCAGATAGCGAAATTTTGTTGTTTGGTTGTAAAAGCTCATCAGTGTTCAGGCAGCCACTTGGGTTAGGACTGTTTGTTTTTAATCTAATAGATCTTTTTATTCTTATTACTTTATTTTTTTAAGACTAAAATTCTGTCCTTTTTTACACCGTATTTCTGGTTTTAGAGTTTAAAATGCTTGTATAATTTTACACAAATAGTTTTACCATCTGGATATTTTAGGCATTGTAATTTATTTATATGATAAATATTTGTAGGTATGGTTTTATATTGCTGGCTATGCGCTGTAATAAATTCAATTCATTATGTTTGCTAAGGATGTACACTATATGTTTGCTAAGGTAATTTTTTTAAAAAGTTTGTTGTTGTTTTAAAAAAACAACTAGGGATGCCCACCTCCAGGTGGGACTTGGAGATCCCCCCAGAATTACAGCTCATCTCCAGACTACAGAGATCAGTTCCCCTGGACAAAATGATGCTTTTGGGGGGGGGGATTCTGTGGCATTGTACCCCACTGAGGTCCCTGTCCTCCCCATGATCCATCCCCAAATCTCCAGGAATTTCCCAACCTGGATCTGGCAACCCCACCCCTGCCAGTGGTTAGGGGGGACCTGTCAGCCCTGCTCTGAACATGGCATCCTTGTGGCTTGCAGTGGTTTTTTAAAAATCAGGAAGCAGAAAATTCCCAATGCCCTTGGGGTGTCTATGGGGTGAGAGAGAGAAGGGGGAAAGGCTCCGAAGCAGGTGCCTTCTGGACTAAAGAGTGCCCAGCCCTTTTGGCCTCTCCTGTAGGATCTTTAAACCCCAAATGCCCACAATCAAATAGTAGGGGGAGGGACGACACTGTACACAAAGCAATGCCCGAAAAGATAAATGATGAGACGCCAGATGAATGCAATGAGACTCCAGAATATGAAGGTATGCCAAACTCGGCACAAGCTGTAAAATAAAGTTTGGTAGCGTGTCAGCTTTGTGTTCCCTCAAGGCCACTTTTTTGGAAACCTGCTAGAGACCAAGGCTGTGATTATTTGAGATATCTGAATCAACAGACAAGACTCGGATGGAGGTGAACAACAAAGGTTTATTTCGCAGAAAATAGAGAATTTCATAAGGTAAATATGATGTTGTCAAACTCGGTCTCTAGTTTGCCATGATTTGCAAGGGGAGAGAAATTCCTGAGGAGGGTGTGAGTGATTGTGAGTGTGTGAACTGCTCTGTCGTAGGCCAATGTAACTCTTCCTAAGATACCTCCCTTGTCTAAGGACAACCTAACTGTGCCTGCTTCGCTACTGTAGATAAAGAAACCATATAGTCACAGGTGGGGGTGTAGAGAGAGCGTGAAAGCTAGGCGGGACGTTTGTGAAGTGTGATTGGATGTACTGAAAGGGGGGCCTCGTTTGAACTGTCTGTATCTTTGAATCCTCCCTCCAGGACCTCAGTTCTGACACAATACTGATCTAGCCTGGAACATCTTTATTTCTCAATAAACACATCACTGCCGAGGAGAGTGTTGTTGAGAGTAAATTTGTCCAGGAATCTGACAGATGTGTGAACAACTCAGATATATACAGTAAAGCTGGCTCTCAAATAGAGGAAATAGCTCCTGAGGGAAGAGTTGATTCCCCTTCCTCTGGAGGGGTCACCTCAGCCGGTTCAAGGCGGCTCTTTTCTCTCACAGTGCACCTTTCCCCAGAGCCCACACACACCAGATAGAAATGACGGACCCTGACCAGGATGCTTATTTGCACCACTAAAATAAGCCTTCTTCCCTCAGCTGACCCCCAAACCCTAACCAGAAAAGCTAAATAAAAGCCCGGCTAAGCTGACGCTCCTTCCCAGAGTCACGGAATCCCCCTCCCAAAAGTAAAACGTTTCTTCTTCACCCCCTTCTTATGGCTGAGGCTGGCTCAACCCCCCCCCCCAATCCAGTGGAGTTCCATGGGCTCTGATTGGCTAGCAATAAGGCCTAAATCACAAGGATTGGGCCAGAGGCCTGGAGGAGAGGCGGGACTTAAATTGCCACAGCCCTAAACAGAGCATTATCCACATTAGTATATTCATTTTAATGTCTATCAGGCAAATGACATTTCAAAAGCATTTCTTACTTGAATTTCAACTAAATAGTCATTGTTCAAACACGATGAGAACTCATTACTGTATCTGTATATTATATTACAAATTCCTCTGAAGAAGCCTGTTGGCAAAACACGCGGGATTTTTTAGCTGAGTAATAAAATACATTTTTCCTGTGACTTGCACCATCGGCAATAAATACAAGCGGAAAGAGAGCCAGTTTGGTGTAGTGGTTAAGTGTGCGGACTCTAATCTGGGAGAAACGGGTTTGATTCCCCACTCCTTCACTTGCACCTGCTGATGTGACCTTGGGTCAGTCACAAGCTCTGGCACAGCTGTCCTTGAAAAAGAGAAGTTTGTGTCAGAGTTCTCTCAGCCCCACCCACCTCACAGGGTGTCTGTTGTGGGGAGGGGAAGGGAAAGGAGTTTGTAAGCCGCTCTGAGACTCCAAGTGAAGGGCGGGGGTATAAATTCAATCTCTTCTTCTCTTCTCTTCAAAAGAAGCTAGAGACTCACTTTTCTTAAAAAAATGAAAGCTGGAAATTTAGAGGAGCAATAAATAGCTCATTATAATGTTATAGCAAGCTATCAAAAAAGGCTTTTGGTAACATGAGGGAGCTGAGGCCATAAAAATGGCACCAATATCAGCAAGTCCTGCAGAAATGTACACTTCACTGTCCATACAGAACAAAGTTTGAGTCCAGGGGCACCTTTAAGACCAACAAAGTTCAGTTCTGGGTCTAAGCTTTCATGTGCACGCACATTTCTTCAGATCTTATACCCAGAATTAAACTTTGTTGGTCTTAAAGGTGCCACTAGACTCAAACTTTGTTCTCTTGCTTCAGACCACCACGGCTACTATCTTGACTGTCCATATGACGTGCCAAGGCTGTTTGAGATCTTTCCAAACAGATTGTGTCAATTCAGGTTTGGGAAAGACCACGGCAAATTATGGGAGAACATGGAAAGTGGATACTCCCCAAAAATCCTGCTCTGCTTTGGATGCCAAATGAGAGCAAAACCTCATATGGAGGAGCCCTGCTGGCAGGGCCGGCTCACCCACTAGGTGAAATAGATATTCACCTAGAGCATCGGGCCCTGGATGGGGTGCAGAACTGTGCCTCCCCCCTCCAAAAGCCCACGCGCCATTGCTGCTCCCAGCCGCGTGGCATGGGGGGCGCAAAAGGGGAGCGCAAGGAAAGCACTGCCGGTTCAGGGAGCCACTGCTCTCCCCTGCTCCACCGCCGAAGCAGCCGCGTCCCCAGCCAGCCAGCCAGCCCCGCGTCCCCCACCCCCGTCTCCGAGTGCCGCTGGCTGCTGCAGCAGCTTCCTCAGTGGCGATGGCGCCTCTCCGACTGGCTTGTGAGGAAGGGCCATGAAACCAGGCGCTGCTGCTGGAGCTGGAGGCCCTGTGCCACGAGGAGCGTGCTGCGCCGCAGCCGAGGAATGGTACTGTTCCAAGTTTGCCTCGGTGGCCCAGCTGGCCGGCTGCAACCAGGAGGCTGTGCGCACCATCCACCAGGAGACCGGGGAGTACTGGCGCCAGCTGCAGGCCCGCTTGGTTGAGATTGAGGCCCTCCACGGCGGCGGCAGCTCGCTGCATAGGCAGCTGAAGAACCTCGATGGGGAACAGAGCGCCCAGGTGGCCTGCTGCCAGGTAAGGGGGGCTCACGGGACCTGGCGGGGAGGCTGCAAAGTCAGGGCAGCAGCTCGCTCCCCGCTTCCCCGCAGGACGGGCCTTTTGGGGCAGCCAAGAACAGCCGATGGCCCATTGCCGGTGCCTTCAGGCCTTCCTTTCCGACCCTCCCCTCTCCCTAATTACCCAGCTGAGGCCAGGAACTGGCTGGCCAGTCTTCCCTTCAGCCAGGACTCCTCACTCGGGCTTCAGCTGACCCCTTTGCCCCACAGCATGCACCCCTCTGCTTGCCTGGGGACTTTGAGAGAGCCTCTGTTGCCCGACCCTCCCCCCCCCCCAAGAGGCGGCCAGCTGGGAGGTCTCCAGGCCCCACTGGGAGGTTGGCATCTGCACTGAGGGGGCACCACAGGGCAGCTCGCCTAGGGCGCAGAAACAACTTGAGCTGGCCCTGCCTGCTGGATCAGACCAATAGTCCATCTAGTCCAGCATCCTGTCTCACACAGTAGTCAACCAGTTCGTCTGGACACCCAACAAGAGGGCACAGAGGCCAAAGCCTTCATAAGGGCACAAGAAGAGCCTGGCTGGATCAGACCAAAGGTCCATCTAGTCCAGCATCCTGTCTCACACAGTGGCCAATGAGTTCCTCTGGAGGACCAACAACAGGGCAGAGAGGCCGAGGCCTTCCCCTGATGTTACATCCTGGCTCTGGGATTCAGAGGATTAGTGCCTCTGAATGTGGAGGTTCCTCTCAGTCACCATGACTAGTAGCCATTGATAGACCTATCCTCCATGAATCTGTCTAATCCCCTTTTAAGGCTGTTTATTTCTGTGGCCATCACTACGTCCTCTGGCAGCGAATCTCACCTTTTTAATCACTCTAATTTTAATCACTCTCACAATGGCCTGCTTCAGTAGAAGACAGCTTCACGTGTTCACGTTAGTGTCTCTCATCTCAGGGCGGAGGTTTTTTAGCACTGGTGACTTTTTATGGGGGATGTCTTATTTTGT